CATTTAACTCATGTATTATCTGAGTTTTTACATTAAATGGCCATACTTAATATCCCATGACATGTCACCTATTTTCTGGGGAGGATACTGATACAGTACTTACCAATTCCAGAATCCATACTAATCAAATGGCACCTGCCCACTTCAGCCAGGAGCAGCTAGTTCAGTGCATCAGCATTTAATCTGCAGGGAGAACTTATGAGAAGGAACAAAAACAATGTGAACTGCAGTTGGCTAAATGCGGGCATAGTTGATGCAATTTGTTTTGTAAAGAGGAATTTGAAGATACTGAAGTCAAACTGAGGTACAGGGGTCAATTTACGTACAGATTTCTTGCCAGGACTCAGCCCACACTGGTAGCACATTGACAAAGACAAGGCCACAAGGCCTAATCCAGCAAATCTAGATGTGATTTCTGAACGCACTTTGGGGTAGGTGGTTTGCTGAGTGGAAATGTAAGCGCGAATGTAGCAAACCCAAGGTGTTAGGTCAGACTTACAGAGAACTCAGGCCCAGTGCATAGTTGTAGCTTTGCATTGAAAGAGTGCTTGGAAGTCGCAAATAGTTAGTGTAAACCTCATCCACCATCAGGTTGATGTCCTGGGAATTTTAACACTTGAAATGCCAGCTGCTGAATGCAAAATCAGACATTGGAATCAGTGCCAGGGCATGCAAGTAACCTGTTACAGATGGACATTGCCCTTAAAAATAATGGATGCACTTCAATATTATTTGTTGTTTGATTCACTCAGTTCTATGGTACAGCTAATCCCTAGGTTAAGGGATAAAAGACAGTTTACCAAAATTTAATGTTTCAAGGGGCCAAGTTTCCATTTACCACTTGCTTCTCTTACAGTCCTATCCACTCAGCACAAGAAGTTCAGGCAACGTTAATGCAGCAAGCCTGCGCTCTCCAGCTACAGGCAGAATTAATTTGCTCAGGCACACAAGAAGAATGGCAAGGTACAAAAGAAGTGGTTTAATTAGGCCACAGCCTTATTAACTCGTGAGACAATAAATTGCACAGTTCACATTGTCGTTCTCTCTTCGGTCTGTTTTTAAGCCATCTCTCCCTGGGAGTTGGATGTTCCTCCCAGGGAAACTTGCAGCTGTAAATGGAGGAGACTCAATTGTAGAACTGACAGTAGGGTGCTGGAGAAGCTCCTAAACAGTCAGGCAATGATTTAAGCGTTTGGGGGACTTGTGAAGGAGAATATACATATAAATGTATAGGTAAAAGGCTTTTGTTGCTCTTACTGACAAAATTGGCACCCACTTGGGTCCTGCACTACTGTCTGCAGCAGTACATTGGCAAAAAGATGAGCAGTTTGCTGTGCTGGTGTACATTTGGGGGAAATAAGTCTGTAGACAAACTGTATAGGTCCATGTATGGAAGTTGAGAAATTGGGATAGAAACTTCTCATTGCTGTAGTTTTCTTTTGCTGTTGCTTTCTCCACTGCATTAACTTGCTAGTTTTGCTTTTCTAGCCTCTCACAGGCTTTCAGAAGCTCTCAGCATGTAGGGCTCAGTGGCATAGGTGCATACCTTGTTCTCATCTGGCTTTGTGTTTTGACATGAGTGCAAAATTCGACCTAAATGACTTGGATTTCCTCTGGCAGTAGCAATGGCAACACTGACTACAGGCAGCAGTACTGCAACCTCGCGGTGCTTTGCAGCAGCAAGCGCACGGCGTTGCGCTGTAACACTGAAACTGGAGTAAGTGATTTGTACAGTCTCAGAAAGCTGTGGTGGCAGCGAGACCAAAGTATAAAGGTTAGTGGGTGCTGGGGAGCCTGTCGTGATGGGTGCCCACCTCCATCTGCGATGTTCAGACCTCCTTGAGGCCACTGCTGTTATTCTGCCCTGTGCCGGGAGGAGGTGGGACCTGCCAGCGCCACGCCGGCATCCCCATACCCTCCCAGACATACAGCAAGTACCTCGCGCTTCTGAAGTGCACCATAATTATTCATTTTACGGTTTTGTTGTAGCACACAGTGTGGGCCTGATTGCCTTAATATCGGTATAACTAATAACCCAAAGAGGGGACAATGCTTGCTTGTAGACAAGCTAAACGTAAAAATATGAAATAGGGGCTGAGGGACGCTGGGCAGAAAGTTCTTAGGGAAAAAAAAGATTTTTTTTCTGTGTGTATGTTTATTTTGTAGTTTGATAGAAATAAACAGTTACTATGGCAACTGTCATATCACCGGCGACACGCAGAGCAAGGAAGATGCCGTGTACTTACCGATTAGTGGAGTGAGTTTGGGTATTTCTTTAAAGAGACATCATTTTCCCTGCTTTGTTTTCCCTGTATGTGGTGCATCTTGACTTGGCCTTCAAGGAAAGTTAGGTTTTACTCCTGCACATCCTCTTGGCAGCTGTGTCTATCCAAGACTAGCTGCCACTAGTCTAAGACTAACGATAGACTAAGGCTGCCTATATCTAAAGCTAGCTATAGACTTGGCTGTGGCTGCAAGGTGCTGCACCCTCCCTCCTCCT